CTTGTTTGGAATACACTGTTTGAATTAGCATCAGCAGCCTCCATTGAATACAATGGAGAAAGTGACTGGTATACTCACAGGAATGAAAACTTCACAGGGAGAAGACATCAGAGAACTGTGACAGTATCACAGTGATCTCGGTGAGAGTGTCTAGCACTAACTGTGCAGGAATGGCTAAAAATAAAAAAGAATCAGGGGTGTCATTGTGGGGATCTTGTAGATATTCTATTCAACTATGGATTTACTTTGCAATTGTTTTTACCTCACTGTCTCACACATGTTCTTGCTGCTGCTACAACAATCGATCACTGGACAGGTATCTTTGGATAATGGCTTCTAGACTGCGACCAGGAAATCCTATTAACTATACTTTGAGCAGTTAGTGTCTTTCCAACGCCCTTCACCAACGCAACCTTCAAAACGAATATTTTGTCACAATAGAAAACTCTTAATCTCATCCTTAAAATATACAATTTTCAGACTTCCAGTGACCAACCGTTAAGGTGGAGGTAAGTACCATCATCCCTAAATGGCTTAATTTGAAATCCACCTCACTGATGGCGAGGAGATGAAGATGAGGACAGGTGATGTGCCAGACAAATAAAGCATGACATGATGTAGCTTTCATCACATTGTGGCGGTGTTTTACACACTTCATGTCATAAAATCTCAGCGACAGCAAGCTATTCATTGGTTGGATACACATCTTTTTTCAGCATTTGCTTTCTGGCACCCTTTGTATTAGTGCTGCTGTGTATTTGTAGGAAACAAAAGCGGCTTGTATAACTCCCGCATTGTGTCGACTCTGAATCAGTCTGCCTTTGTTCGTCTTCGGGGAGCGGGGAGTATTATTCACAGAGAACATAGCTGGAAGGAAACCGTCTCTACAGAACAATACGGCCTATTTCTCAAACATAGCAGAGAAGTAATACAAAAGTTTCTTGTAATGATGCAGTAAAGTCATCCACCTCCCTTGTTTGTTTTAGTGGTCTCCACAGACGCTGGTGTATTGGATTCATACTGCAGCTTGGGGGGCTTATGGCAGCTGTAAGGGGGACATATTCTGAGGGTAAAATGTAGTTTCGGCAAGGGGAATAATAATTGATTTTGGAGCCTTTTGCTACTCGTGTGTTTTTGTTGTTTCAGTTGTTTGCCAGTGAGTTAACTGTAGCAGAGAGGCACAGCAGGACTCCACACTGTGTGTACAAGAACACAGCTTACAGCGCAGAGCAGTGTGTGATTGGCCTATCTCTCAGAAGAAAAGAGGATTAGAGAGACCTCTTATGTCTGTGCATGAGCATCAGACCCTGTGTTTGCACCAGTGTGTGTGTATGTGCTGAGAGCAGGTGCACGCCTACCTGTGCGCAAAATACCAGATAGTAAGGTGGAGTAAGGAGAGCAGGGGAGCCTCTGCGACTTTAAAGGTATTTTTAGTCCACAGTGTCTCGTTTGGTCTGGAGAAATTGCCGTCGAGGGGGAGGGGGG